ATCGTTGGCAATAAAATAATCTTACGTTTTTTTATAAAATATATCTTTAACCACATTGTGAAATCCTTACCAGGTTTAATGTTATATTAATTAGTAGAAACGTGCACGTTTCAATGATTAAATCATTTACCCAGAACGTTGTTCTGTATATACAGCAGATCAATAACCCTAGAGCCAATCAATTCAATTATTACAAATTCACGGGGTCATGTATAACTTATGAGTTATCAAAATTTTCATGATATCATTAGTTTTAATCTCAAATTTATAGCAATTCGGTTTAATAATAATTCACGCTGATGGCATTATTCAACAACTTGATTCACAAGATTTTACGTTTAATTAAAGTAAAAAACAAACAAATTTTTGAGAATAATACGTTTTGTCACAAGAAAGGTGCATTAATTTCTCAAATTCGTTTTTAAATTTACATTAAAGTTATCCATTGATTCTTTTCGGTTGCTATTTATAGTGATGCGCGAAGGTTGTCATCACAACCTGGAAGCGATTGATTATCCCATGCGTTTGTTTTTTCCCCGTCCATTGTAACTGATAAACTGACAAGGATAAATTGCCGTGCGATGCTCGTTGACTTACAGGCTATACTTTATATTCACTTTTTAACTGATGTCTTTTTAAAAAAATCGGTTCAAGAAGCAAGAGCAAATTACTATTTTGTCAATATAGCCCGAAAAATTAACCAGTTTGTTATTTTTTACCTCTTTTTATTTTTCTTGTTGGAGCGTTTCGGGGAAAAACGACGAAACACAGAATATTAGATTTAAAAGTCTCGTTTTAAAAGTGCAAAACCAGATATTTTTTCGTATTTATAGGCAGAGAACGTATTGGCAGATATGAAGTGATCAAAGTTGTTTTGTTTTGGCAAAAAACGGGCTTTTTTTGTTTTTGTTTTTTAATATCTAATGGATCGTCAGATCCCACGGTTTGCAATTAGGTTCCTATGGTTTCTCTGTAGTTCGAACTGCCAGTGTGAAACTACTAGGTTCTGAAACAGTATTTTTATGTTTTAACGGATTGTAAATCCAACGATTAGTTAAAAAATGTAGTTTCGTTCTGTCAGATATGACTTACATAGAAACCATTTTATTTTAAAAGTAGCAAACCACAGATTTTTGCAATCGATCTGCATTTAAAAAACGGTCCCATTTTAATGCTAATGGAATTTTAAACAAGTTTTTATCCCTATGTCTCCTACACATGTCCCAAAACATTGGATCTGACACTCTAGCTTGAACCACCGGAACTTAAAACATTTTCCAGCGGTTGGGCTCACTCCATTTTAAATCCCCGGAGCCTAAAACATTTTCCCAATTGTTAGATCACTTCAGCCAAGACCATCGGAACTTAAAAGTTTCAAACTACTGGATCTTTATAATGTATTGGAACTTAAAAATTTGTGCCAGAACTATATGTAAGCGACTAAACACAATTCCGAAATGGGTCTAACCAGTACAAATTGGCATACGAAAAATGATGTCTAACGATCAAATTTAAGTAATCCCTATCACATGAGAGGACTAAAGTCCAACAGACCCTTTTGGACAATGGGAAAAAAAGTCACTGTCACGAGCGGGATTCGAACCCAAGATCTTCGACTAGATACGCCGCGGCTCTACCACTTGAGCTATCGTGACTTCGATCCACGATAAAGTATGCTTCACTAAAGCTTTCCGTGGCCATTTCATTTGTCGCCGAGAATCCAATCCGATTACACGACATTTGAAAAATGGCAAAAAGGAGGGAAAATTCAAAAGGTGGGGTTGAAATGGGAAGTTAGTGTCCGAGTGGATCGAAGTCACGATAGCTCAAGTGGTCGAGTAGCGGCGTATCTAGCCGAAGATCGTGGACTCGAATCCCGCAGGTGACACTGATTTTTTTTTCTCAACGAAAAACCTTAATTAATTTAAAAAAATTTCTAATATATGTAAATTCAGAAAAGATAATTTCGTTTTATCCGGCCTTACAGTAGATTCTAGGCAACTGGTGACGGTTTTAAATTGATAGCGGATACCGTTTCTATCCTTTACATTTATAGTAAGAAATATGCTTCATAAAATGTTACATTTTCAAGGGCCACTCCAATATTTGGACCGCCCGTGGTAAAAATATAAAGGTCATTCGAAACAAGGCCTGGGGACAGGTTAGAACATAATACTTTAACCTTTAGTATTAATCAATTTTGGCAACCTTGTTGTTCATTGTAATATCTTAACACAATTCCCAATACAATAAAAGATCAAACTGACGATAACGTTATTTCCTTTTTATGTATTAATTCTGCTTTTTTTATTAACGGCGATTTACGGTTTTATACTAACTTTTAGCACCAACTCTATGTATAAATTGTCAAAAAATATGATCTGTATTGATCTGTATATANTAAATAAAAATACAAGCGGCACGTTAAGATACTTCGCTCTTTGTTTGTTTTAATGTTTATACTTTATACAATATTAAGTTTTTAAAATAAATAATTTACCAAATAAATAACTAGTAAATAATAATACCAAATATTCTAATTAATAAATATTATTTACAGTATCGTAACCGTGGCTCATATCGTGTAACGGTTACGATTTACTGTAAATAATATTTATTAAATTTATCATTTATCTATTAGATAAGTTATTTATTTGTTAAACTGTAAAAACTTAATATTGTATAATGTAAAAACATAACAACAAAAATGAAGGTAGTACCTGAACTTTTATTTTTATTTATTTACAATTAAGTCTCCAGCCCTGAGGAAGGCTTAATGAAAAGCAGAAAACTTGGACAACAAATATAAGACTACTTCATTTTGGACCACATACCTGATCCCAGTCATCAATCCTTACTCATCGTCGATAATTCTCTGTGTGATATAAACGGCATTGTTAAGCATCCGTAAATGTAGCAAAAAGGGTATGCGTTTTTTTGATGTTGTGACAAAAGTTGTCCCTGATTCGTTGATAAAGGCTATTCCACTCTTAGTGCATAGTATATAAAACTAACTCGTAGTGAATCAAAGTTGGTATTGTAAAACGAAATCATAGTAGTTCCATCCCACGGGAAGTACGGCCGTCTCTCCACTCCCTCTGTACGTAATCTAATCCAATGGTTGAATAATATCTTGTCAACAGTTGAAGGAACATTCCCGGCCGCCTTGAAGTTTCCCACCGTGGAAGTTTGAGGTTTGATCTCTCAGCGAGGAATCCCGCTCCTTACAAGCATTCAGCATTGCAATTAATGCTTGTTATGTGAAATTATAAGTGGTTTTGTTTGAACACAATATAGCCCGAGAACAGTGAGAAGTTGCTTACGTTTGAAATCAAATTCAGAAAACGGTTACGTACTTTTTGGGGATAATTCGGTGAACGCGTTGTTTCTTCCTTTGGTAACATGTTTTAACTATTTATCTGGTTGAAAAACCGAAAAACCAGTAGCGATATATTAGCAAAGGTATAAAACAGAGCAAGATAACTTAATCCCCATTGTGTTTTGAAAACGTTTCCTTTATAATGATAAATATCAATGTGTTTTTTATTTTTTGGAAAATAATTAGGTTCTTCTTGTATTCATTCATTCAATTATTTATTTGCATAAAAATTGGAATTACTCTAGTAGTTACTATAGCTTATACTTCACTCCTTTCAATTACTTAATCTTTTTATGTAAGGGTTTGGTTGAAATGAAAAAGTTACCGCCACGAGAGGGATTCGAAACCACGACTTCGGCTAAATACGCCGCTGCTCTAACCACTTGAGCTATCGTGACTTCGATCCACTCGGACACCAACTCATAATCTTAACCTACAACCTTTCAAATTTTCCCTTTTTTTCAATTTTTCAAATGTCGTTTACTATTAAATATCCTTCTACCTGTTGTAACCAAAAATGTATAATTAAATAAGCTGATCCCTCGTCTATAGCCTCTTCTTGGTAGGTTGGTACAATACCATACAGTAAATGTAACTTCTACCCCTCCCCTCCATTTTTTTATTGCGGTGTCCTATGAGACAAAACGTTTTGATATTACTCTCCAGGATGTGGAGACTAGGATGTAAAATATTTCAAATGATAAAATATTCATCGAAGTAAATTTTTGAAATGCTTTTAGAATTCAACGGCGCAAACGGTTTTAAATTTGGCCAGTTTACAAGTTGTTCGCAAAACCTTCTTCCAAATATTGATTTTCGGAAAAAGGAAGTTATTTCTACTTGCTCAACCAAGAAATAATTCATTTATTTATCATTTTAAGTTATAGTCAATTAATTGTTTATTGTATTTCAAAACGTCGCCACAAATTGCTGAAATAACATCGACTACTATACGTTCTGTGTAGTTTATAAAAGCGCGATTCAGCCTCGTGATAATCTCCATTTGGAGCCATAATGCTTAAATATTATGAAACCCTCGTGGTTTGTTTCACAATGAATAAAAAATCATGCTTTTATGATATAAATAAATACTTAATACTATTTCATACGGGTGTCAACTTACTAGTGTTCATTCAAGGAGTCTATTCGATTTTACGAAAACTTGAGAAAACTATAGGAAAATATCTGTTCAGGTAAAAGTTAGATCTTAGACGATAACATTTTACATCAGACAATTAAAAAAGTTAAGCATTATCGTAGTTTTTACATAAGCCTATTGGGATATTTACAAAATATATTCAATTTTCAAATTTTTGCATCGCAAATAAAAAATATACCAGTTTTTGTAAACAAATAACACATTTATTTACTGTGTTTTCTATCAATTATCTAAATACTTTTTTGACAATAGTGAAGGTTTTTTTTGCAGTATCTTATTTCCCGTGTTGTTGTGCATTTTTTGCAATATTTAATGTTTCTTTTTTCAAGAAATTTACAAATGTACTTATTGCAATGTTTGAAACAAATTGTAAATGCGATTTGCATGTTTCTTTAGTATGTGCGGTTTTTGAGGACGCACACACTAGTAAGTCGACAGCTTGTATAACTAAAATACATTTACTTTTCTTTGTTAAGTATTACTGTTTCTGGATGTCTAACAGTTTCCGAGTCTTCCTCGTGGTCTCCAATTCGATATTCAAAGGAACTTGATGAATCTGGAAATGAAAAAATGAGTTAATATTTTGTAATATTTTATAATTTGTTCTTATTTCATACAACCATTATTATTATTGTCTTATTCTAAGTAAAAAACAAATTAACAACATAAACAAATAAACAAATTATTATATTATATTATATCGTATCATATCATATCATATCATATCATATCATATCATATCACATCATATCATATCATATCATATCATATCGTAACGTATCGTATCGTATCCTATCGTATCGTATCATAATCATATCATAATCATATCATATCATATCATAATCGTATCGTATCGTATCGTAACGTATCGTATCGTATCGTAACGTATCGTAACGTATCGTATCGTAACGTAACGTATCGTATCTTATCGTATCGTATCGTATCATATCATATATTATATTATATTTCATATTAAATAATAAGAGTGTTCGGCTACTCGTGTTACAAACTTTGCACATAGATTCTCCATCCATAATGGAACGAAAAAGTCCTAAAGTACTAATTGACCATGGTCCGAATCTCAGCCGTGTCGGAGTTATTCCACTTTTTCAAATTTTTTAAGATTTCACGACCTTGCTTCAAAGAAACAATGATAACCTTTCAGTTTTGGACAAATCCGTTGACACCATTGCGAAACTACGTTAAATTTCTAATAAGAGTGATCAATACTAAAATTTAAACCTTCTTGACATAAGCGTTTTGGTAGCGAGAACTTAGAAAAATATTCTTTTTTTTTCCAAAGTTGAAAAACATACTATGGCGATTATAAACTATTATTTCCAAACCTCGTGACTAGCAAATTTTAGAAAACGTACTTCATTTAATATCCTTTTTATTGGTGTAATTTGTTTTTTAATTACTTTTTTTAAGGTTGAAGAAATTTATGGAGGAAGGAAAAAACCGTGGCTGACGATTGGTAAGGTGGAAAACTAAAACTAAAAAAATCTTAAAGAAATTTTGAATGAATATTAAACTTTTTAAAAAATTGGTATTAGTTAATCAAACTAATGCTATAACATGATTCTAGTTGACGTTGATCGCCCTACGTAGTTTAAAGTGATGTTGTATTGGATCTTCTTGAGGTCATTTTACAGGTGAATAAAGAACATCACTAATTGGGTTTCACCAAGCTTTCGGCGAATGTACCGTCATCTTCAGGGCTTAATTTATTAAAAACAAAATTTACATGAACAGAGTTACATAACACATCTTATATAAATGCATTACAAAATACAATTACGTAGTTAACCGAGTTGTTAGGAAAATTAAATTTATTGCACATGTTTGTTGTTTTTTTGAAGTGAAGGTGAAAATGAATCTATATACAAAAAACAGTCTTGCTTAAAGTCTAGTGACACTCATCGGTCCATCCTTTGGTTTCATTTTTCCATAAGTTAACACTCAATCTCAGGTACATGTATTACTTTATCACAGATACGTTATATATATACTACTTTTTAACTGTTTTTTAACTTAAAATTATAATTTAACTAGCTACAACTATGTACAAGGATTCGAAGAAATTGAGACACACATCGGACGGTTATAACACGGTAAGGGACCCATCCCTGGTTATCAATCCCGGTGTGATTACACACACCAACGTCACTTTGCGCTTTATTTCGATTCATGAACAGTTGCAGGATTCCCGAATATGCCATGATAGAGACCAGTCGATCGATTTATAAATTACAAGTGTTTCCCGTAACACGAACAAAGACTTTTTCGAAACATTCGGAATATTCACCGAAAGCTTGGTGAAACCCAATTAGTGATGTTTTTTATTCACCTGTAAAATGACCTCAAGAAGATCCAATACAACATCAGTTTAAACTACGTAGGTAGATCAACGTCAACTAGAATTCTTCGTGAAATTTCAATTTATATGTGAGGATTTGTCTTCATAACTCATGGCTTTCTTCAATAGTATAAAAAACAATTTTGGTTTTGAATCTTTCAAAATAGTAAAACGCTTGTCAAAATCATGTAACAAATCATCACACTTAAAGTCTAGGAGATGGTTTCTTTTAAAATGTCGAATAAATAATATATTTCCCAATTTTATAATCAATCATGTCTAATGTGCTAAGATTACCCGAAATTTGAATATATGCCGAAAAGAGGGAAAACTGGGAAAAGCTGTAGGTTGAGAAGATGAGTTGTCGTCTTGGGAGACAGAAGTCACGATAATTGCAAATATATGATTTGTGTCGTGTTCGTCAACCAAATCCTTAATTCTGGGGGCCATTTTCCGCCGGGCTGTTGATTTCGCGGATGATTGGCGTCCTCAGGTGAACACTGCGGTCAGATTAAATGTAATGTTCAACAGTCTGCGTTTCCCGATCACATGGGCAAACTGGTGAAGATGTGTGGCCAAATCGAACGCGGTACTAATTGCATTAACCGTGGCCTGACAGGATTTGCGTTATTCTGTAGTATAACGCGGTTGTTTATGTTGATCCATATGGATATTTTGTTCCATTTTACAAGTTGCTAAGTTCTGGAAATAACAAGCCATTTCTATCAGTTCACACTAACTGGGTACGAATGCTCACTTATTCCTTCGCCGTTTATTGGATTCTAAATTTTACATTACAATTAAATGAATAAAATAAAACATATATTAGCTTAATATGGAAGCACAACGTAAAATCTCGCTTATCATTGGTGACAATTTACTGGGAAAATCGAGATAAAATAAAACAATATTTGTCAGAAATAAGTGAACAAACAAAAATTAATATATAGTAATGTAGTAGTGATTTAAGGATTATAATTTTTAATTTAAATGAAGAAAGAAACAAATTTGTATATATTTCAAAAGTTTGTAAAATGGGAAGTGGTATTTTCGGCACTATTTCAATCAGTTTCATGTTTGTTCTTCACTCAGTAAAATCGTATCAATTGAAATTCCATTACTGACAGTTTTCTGAATCGTGAATGGAAAAACACTTCTTAACAAAATACGGTGAGATAAAAGGACGCAGGTTTAGATTTGTAAAGAGGGGAAAAACATGTTTTAAACGAACAACTTCAGACAATAACAACAGTATATACTCAACGAGAGGAAATGAGGTAAGCAATTGAACCGAAAACAAGGATGATATTGGTCAAAGAGTCTTCTCACAAGCTGAAGTAATTTGCCCCTTGAAAAATAGCTTTTGGAAAGAGGAAGCCGACGAGAGGAAGCTTGACGAGGTCAGCTTAATCTCACAGTTGTACGAGCTTTTGTTAGCCACCCTTTCTCTATACCTCATAGCCTTAATTAAACACTTTCATAAAGAATAGTGAAAGGGCGGGGGGATAATTATTCCCCTCCTGATATTGCCTGGGGTTGTCATTGCTGCCACGTGTGCCATAGTCTTTATGCCATACTACTCTCCTAGTTAACTCAAGGTTATCTTCAATTTCATTAGACTGCTTTAATTAAATTTAAAACAAAATGCAGAAACAGGATTCAGTACAAGTATATATACACATACTACATACACTAAACTATGTATAAATATATTTATATATACATATATATATTCACAATGTATATACATTATTATTATATATGTATATATAGCCCGGCTGTATTTCTCTTGAACCAATGACGCTATCATCGCTAAATAAATGTTTATTATTTTTTGGTCTAGTTTCAAATTTACGCCTTTTTTTGTAGAAAAATTATAAAGGGTATCTCAGGGTCAGTTCAACATCAAAATTTCAAATACTACCCTGTACGTCCTGACACATCAATTTAAAGGAATTTGTACGCTGAAATAATGGTGCATTCGGATTTTAAATTGGTCAAAAAATGGCAGAGGGATGGCAAAAAGTTTGAAAAAAGAAACAGTTATTTGGTTTGCTATTTCTTAATCACATTTCATGTTCGAACTGCAATGCAAAGATTTGCTCTTTTTAACCACTTTTCATCTGTGCTCAGAGTGATAGGATCAGAGGAGATGGATTGACTAGTATTATCTATCCTTAGCCGCAGTTATTCGACTGAAGTTGCTGGGTTATGATTGGCGTAGACACAGTTTTTTAAATGGCCCCTACAGAAAATAGCTATGAGGTCCTATCCACCCATCCTGGAAGTGACGATTCACCTGGTGGTCTCACCTGTAAAGAAGCATGTCTGGGGCATCCTTCAAGGTGGAGAATCATTCTTGCCGTTGTCGCAGAGGAACATAATCTAATAGTGTTGATAAAAAAAATTGAGGAACTGAGCACCATTTAAATAATTTTCGTAGATTAATTAATTTATTTCCGAGAAGTCCATACCAAACGTTGATAGTATGTACCACCTGATGGTGACAAGAATACGAAATTCTCGCATTTTCTTCTGCCCACGTTCGAAAATTCCAACGGTTTAGTATGCCATTAGAGGTGAACTTTGTTTCTTCATTCCATAGGATGTAGGAAGAACGGTTTCTCTCTCTCGCTCCCTCCCTCCCTCTCACTCTCTCTCTCTCTCTCTCTCTCTCTCTCTCTCTATATATANGGCCATTTCATTTGTCGCCGAGAATCCAATCAGATTACACGATATTTGAAAAATGGCAAAAAGGGGGGAAAATTCAAAAGGTGCGGTTGAGATGGGAAGTTGGTGTCCGAGTGGATCGAGGTCACGATAGCTCAAGTGGTAGAGCAGCGGCGTATCAAGTCGAAGATCATGGGTTCGAATCCCGCTCGTGCCATTGACTTTTTTATCTCAACTAAAAACCATAATTAATTATAATATATTAATTGGTCAAGCGGACCACGAAATTAGTGAATTTATATAATTAATATTAAAAATTTAATATATGTTTAAAAAGGGTAAGTTAAATGGAAAGATATTGCTAAAACAAGATTTATTACCGGCTGGATGTATTATATTTATTTCACATTAAAAATCTCACTATATAGTTTATTTACGGGTAAGAATGATCCATAGGAAATAGATTCGGTCTGTGTAACATGAATCATACTCGGCTCTCCATTACTTTGTGAATACTCGCTA